GTGCCCTTTCCACACCTGGCCACGGCTTTGGTCAGGAGGGAGAGCCCATCGGCAGCCGCGCACAGAGGCGATGCTTCCCTGCATTGCGTGCGCTCTGGGAAATTGCAACAGCTCTGCCCTGAGAAGGGCTGCTCCTCGGAGGTCTGACACAGGTGAAGCCCCTGGATTTGTAGGAAGCTGCCGTGTGCATTGGAGCGGATGCTGCAGTGCTGTGGTGGTGCTGTCAGCCAGCCTGCAGCGGCCTGGCCAGCTCACATGCACAGCCACCCCGGGAAAAGCAGATGGAGGAATAAAGGGAAACTTTCCGCTCCAGTGCCCCCCAAAAGACATTATAATTTTCCTTCCCTGTGTCATCCTGCTTGCCTGGTTGTGTGGCATGAAATTAGGGCTCTGGTTCGGTTACGGTTCATTACAGGCTTGCATGTGGCTTTGTCGCAGCTTGTCCAGAAGCACCAAAGGAGCCAAGCCAGTGTGAAAGTCGAGGTTTTAGGCACAGCTGGGTGGCTAGGAACTGAGCCTTGCCTGTGGCTGGTGACTTCAGGAAGGCTCAGATACGGTCCCCATGGACCTGGCAGGGAGGTCCTACCTGGAGGACATCAGTCAGGGACCCTCCCTGACCCTACCAGTGGGGAGAACAAAGTGCTTGGGATGGAGGTAAGTCAATGGGAGATGGCTTCAGGATCTCCTTTTCCCAGCTGAGCAAAGCAGTTGCCTCTTTAGCCTGTCTCAAGGACCTGTGTATGGTGCTGTGTGCAACGCAGGGTGCCAAAGAGAGTGTTTTAAATGCCGTCAGACAGCAAAGCAGCTTTTCTGCAGCAATAGCTAAGTCCTGAAATACCCCGAGCAGCTGTGTTTATCCCAAAGCTCTCACTCAGAGAGATGCTTGGTTGTGACGTGGGCCATTAGTACAAACATTGCTCCCAGTGCCCGGACCAGAGCCACGAAGGGCGTTGCTCACTTAGCGGCATTAATACAAACCAGCACCGTCCCGGCATGCAATCAATGGACTCGGTAATAAAAACAACTCTGGCTTGTCCCAGCGCTTGGGCAAGGAGCGGTGCTGTCTTCTTGGGAGCAGAGGGGTTTCCAAATGTCTCCGTTCCCCTCCCTGGGCTGCTTTCACCCCAGCCGTGCCCTCCAGCAGCTGAGAAATCTCTGCTCTGTCACAGTTGTGCTGGGCTGGGAAAAGGGAGCAGCCCAGGGATCCCCTAGGGACTTCTTTCCCAGCAGTCATCGTCTTCAGCGATGCCCATGTTAGCTAGAGAAACATAGTGTGATCCTGCAGCCCTACAACTTTCTCTATGTTGTGCCCTGGCATTTCTTTCCAACGCTGAAGGAAAGGTGCATGTTTGTAATTGCTGCACCCGGGGCTATTAGAAGAGCTGCCTCCAAGCCCAGTTGGTGATGTTCCCTGTTGCTGTGCCACTGTGTTGGGGACCCACTGCCACCTCTCCCGAGCCTGCCTGTCAGACTGGGTACCAGCCCTCCCGCTCGCCCGTGCTTGGCATCTGCTTTCTGGGGTGCCCAAAGCCACGCTGGGCACAGAGGAGCTTCCCAGCCCTGGAGCAGGGACTCCCCCCTCCTCCCCCCCTGCAAATCCAGAGGCAAGGTGAGAGCTGGCAGGCTGACAAAGGGGAAGGCAGCACTGAGCGACGGGATGCAGCGACTGGGTGGATGCTGTTCTGGAGGAACCCTGCGGGGTAGATGCTCAGCTGTGGGAGGGCTTGGTGGGCTGAATGCAGGTTGGAAAATTCCTCCGCTGCGGCTGTGTGCGCTGTGATATGTATCTGGAGAGCCCAAAACCAGTTACCACTTTCCCAAAGCCCCCGAGCTCTGATGAGAGCAATGCACTGATGCTGCAGCCCACAGCCCTCTGCCTGAACCATTGGGTGGCACTGTACCCTTAGCAGGGACATTGTTTCCCACCAGGCCTGGAAGCTCCTGCTGCTCCCAAGCAAGCGACGACTCAACCAGACAGTCTTATTTCCCTCGTGCTATGTGATTTCTCCCAAGAAGCTGGCAGTTTGCTCTAGCACCTGGGAGGTTTGGGACGGGTGCTGGGGGGGGCTGTGGGAAGGGCTCATCCTCACTGCCCACGCTGGGGCATGTGTCAGGCTTGGCACAGCAGCATGCAAAGAGGCACAGGGACAGGCCATGCCATGGGAGGTTTGGGGAGTGCCCAGGGGCAAGAAAGCCTCAGTGACAAGCTAATGGCCCACCTGGGACTCACTTATCCCCCCAGGTTAGGGGCTCTCAGCACACACCTGCCCTCCTGGGGAAAAACATTTGGGTGCAAAAGGGTCAATTCCCGCTTCTGTGGCTGCCTCTCTCCAGGAGCACCAGCATGGAATGGGTACGGTGGGACCGTTTTGGGGAGGTTTGGACATTTGCATCGCTGTGACTGCCCTGGGAGTCATGCATGCCTGGCACCTCCCCGGGGTCTGGGGGGAAGAGCTGGGGGGATTAGAGGGCAGTCCTGTCCCACAGGGCTGAGAAGAGCTGCGAGGAGAGAGGCAAAAGAGGGTTTGTGTCACTGTGGATCAACAGATCCACTTCCATCCCCACCCAAACTCTTCCTTACTGCCCTTCCCCAACCCATGGGGGCTTTTACACATTTCATGGGACCTTGGGCTTGAAATATGGGGACAGGTAGGTGCATCCCCCTGTAGATCAGCCCCTGGCGAGGGCTGCAAGCTGGGACACAGCAGCCCAGCATCCCTCCCTGCGCTGAACCTCTCCCCATCCCCGCAGTCCTCCCTGCTCACAGCTCTGCCCTGCTTGCTCTCTTTGCAGGAGAAGAAAGGCCAGGAGGTTAAGAAGGGCCCCGAGGTGGAAATTGCAAAGCTGGACAAGCTGCTTAACCTGGTGAGAGAGCCAGAGAGCAAGGCAGGGAAGTGAGTGGGGGAACGATGGCTCTGCCAGGGGCCGCCGGCCAAACAAGCCCAGCTTTGATCGGTGGCTGCTTGGCACGCAAGCCGCATGCCCCGTGCTGCCTGCTCTTTCCATAGCAGGAGCACTTCGTCTCCGTGCCCGGACAAATAAACAGAGGTGCTGGGAGATGCGCAGTGTACAGTCATCTCTGGGGTCAGGCAGAACTCACAGTGCTCAGTCCCCCAGAGCCACACAGCCCTCAGCTCTTCCCCACCCTTGGCCGGGCTTGCACCGGGTGAGAGCCCCATGGAGGGCAGGTGAGGGCTGGTCCCACCAGCCCTAGGGAAACCTCAGGTCTGCGGCTCGATGGCAGCCAGTCCCACCGTGAGTGGTGGCCAGAGAGACTGAGCACTGAGCTGCAGCCCCACAGCCATTTGTGGGGTCAGCCACGCACGGCCCCCTGGATTTTGGGGTGGCAGCCCAAGCCGGAGGGTGGCTAGGCACCTGGCCTGGTCCCCCCCGGCTGTGGGAGAGGGATGTGCCATCACTGCAAACAGGATATCACAGCAGCTGCCAACCACCAGCTTCGGGACGCTCACAGCTCCCCTCTTCCCAGGGGGGCTCGGCGTGGGGGTCAGCCACCTCTGCCCAGCCAGCGGCTGTGGGAACGGCTGGGTGCTGGGTTTTGCAGAGCCTTCCCACCACTCCGGTGCTTTGCGGCAGAGGGATTAGCTGCTACGTGGCTGCAGTGGCAGCAGGAGCTGTGGTGGCCTCGCCGCATGCTGATGAGCAGGGACGGGCTGTCACCGCTGGAGCGTTGCACACAGCTGCCGGGACTGGGGACCAGAGGCACCCATTCCACCAGGCAGGGGTGGTGGCAAGTCTCCTCCATCTGTTCAGCTGGGCAGTCCCCCGTAAGCATCCCTGTAACTTAAGGCCACAGCTTGCAAACTCTCTGGTGCCTCTAGCACTGGGGCTGGGGGATGCTCCCTCCTGACAGCCGAATGCCCCCGGCCCGGGCAGACACGCTGCAGGAATGAAATACTCAGCCAGGTTTCTCACCCAGCATTTAAAAGCCACAGATGGATGCAGACGTGAGCCCTTCCTTGTCGCCATCACGCAGCAGAAGGCCTGCAGTCCTGCAGGGACATCAGCCACTAGCCCTGGGGCAGCCACTCCTCAGCCCTGCAGGACAGGCAGGACACACCACCTCCCCCAAATTTTGCAGGCGCTGGGCAGAGCTCAGAGTCGCCACCTGGGTCCTACAATGGATTTATTAGTCTAGTAAAAACACCGCTGCAAAGGGATGCGTTAGCTACACCTGACATAGGGAGGAACCACAGGCTCTGCCAAGCCTGGCCAAGCCTGCGCAGGGACCCTGGCCAGTGTCCCTCCCAGCACAGCCCACCCCTTTGTCCCCTTATCACAGCGGCTGTGCCAGTGGGGACCTTGGCTATTGCTCGGCTCTAGGATGGGCAGGGCAGAGCGCTCCAAAACCCACAGCACCTGCAGGCAGGGTTGGGGAAGGCAGCTGCTAGGCCTGGGGACAAGCCAGATCACCAGCATCCCTCCCCGTGGATCCACTGTGGTCCCCGGGGAGCAACGGGGCTGGAAGACCCTTCAGTGCTGTTCAGCTGGGCACCCTCATCTCTCCCCGTGTCTCCCACCTCCCCAGCAAAAAGCCATCCCAGGCTGCTCTCAACAGGGATGGGGATGCCAACGAGGGCATGTCTGCTGCCTGCAGGCAGGTCAAACCCCACTGACTGGCCTCGGCTGGGAGCAGGCAGGAGGGCAGGCAGGGACACGCACCCAGGGAGAAGGGCCATTTGCCTAGCAGTGTTGGTGCTAATGCTGGAGAGGACTGACAGACAGACTGGGGGACAAACAGACAGACCATGCAGACGCTCTCGTGGCTCATTAAACTGGCTGCTGGGGCAGACAGGTGCCAAATGCCCTCCAGAGGCTGGGGGCACACAGCACCCCAGGGCCAC